TATTTCATAATATCTGTGACTGTTTATTAAATATATTATTTCCATTGAAAGTTGTTAACAGAATTTGTGGATTGAACTGACTCAGATGAACAGTCTCCAGATGTTTTTAATTTCACTAACATTGGATTAAAGTACCAAACTAATCCTAAATAACAAGTCTGGACATGAACTGAAAAGTTGAGCAATGAAGTAGAAAAGTGTAATTATTATTTTTTATTTTATTTTTTTTTATTTATAAAAGGAAACCAAAAGCAATTTCTACTAATACTTCCATGTTTGATGACAAACATTCTGAAAAAAAAAAAACAGAAAAGAAACTACACCTTTCACTTCACACTTTTATCTGTTTATAAACATGTAATGATACTAACTTGATAGTAGGTAACCCTTTTCTGTGATTCTACAATTTAGTATTTGACTTAGAAGCACATTTATGTTGTTTCCTAGAAAGGTCACCAATCTTCACTAGTTTACTAACACTAACTAATTAACTATTAATAGCATGTACATTCTGGTTTGTCTGTAATGAGATATCTTTGGTGATACCTTTATGAAAACCAGTTGCAAAGTTACATCAATAGAAAACAAACAGGTGGATGATATTGAAATGTATTGTATTCTGTACAATGAGCCAATATATCTATACTTGTAGTATATTAAATGTATTATACTAATGTTCATTAGGAGGAACATAATTAAAAATTCAGGTTAATAAAGTTACAAACTTTATAGTTAACTTTCATAATAGTAGTTGCTGTTTAAAACAAATTGTTAGAAACTTAAGTGTTTCATTTTACATGTGTAAATATCGGCCAGTTTTAAAAAGTTACCACTGAAGAATTTAAGAGGAAATATCAAAAAATTAAATACTGACCATTATACCAACTGTTTTGATTTACCTTATATTTCCTTGGTCTTGGTAAAGATTTTAGCAGTTTGTAAATAAAGTCTATACAGTTGTAGCAGAGATAAACAAAATGCCATGGCAATGTACTGAGTCATTTAAAACAATGTTACCACATGGTGATTATGACTTTTGTAACACTGAAATGAACTAACAGATTTTTTCACTTCAATTGAGAACAAGAACTAATAAACTCATGTAACTTGCAGATTCATAGAAAGCTATGTATCTTTAAGATTCATAGTAACCCATGTATGTTTAAGAGTAACCCGTGTATGTTTAAGAGTAACCCGTGTATGTTTAAGAGTAACCCGTGTATGTTCAAGATTCATAGTAACCCGTGTGTGTTTAAGAATCATAGTAACCCATGCATGTTTAAGATAGTTTGATGTATGAGATGAATTTATTAATTTATTTTTTAAAATATATTACGTTATTTAACTGTAACGGTAAGGTTTGTAGATCTAATGAAAAAATGTAAGTTAAGCAGTGATGAAATCAGTTCTCTCGCAACCAAAAATTTTCCAAAATTACAAATTAAAATGCCCCAGTAATTGATTTTCATTGAGAATATGGTTTAATGATCTGAATTATAATAATTTACTTAATTATTCCCTGAATATGCACAGAGTCAGCGTAATTAGTTCAGCATAATTGATGTTATTAATTCTAGGATCAGTAGCACTGGACATTAATACCTTGTACGTTTTATTCCAGAGATTGGATAACATAGGTGGCGTCTTCGTAAAGGCTGACGTAAATTCCGTTTGTGGTTATATTTCAGTACGTTGTTTTAATATACGAAAATATACATCGTTATGTTGTTCCTATTTATTTATTACTAATTGCTTTCAGATTTTAAATAAATTTTTTATTGTAGTTAAAATCTAAAAAGATTTTTAGTTTGTCCCCTAATGCGCTCCAAACACCCCACCCCACCACCATCCGTTTATTTAATACCATCACGTTCTACTGCTAGACTAAATGTTAGTTTGTGAAATAGTGGGTGAAGGATCACGTATTTTTAAGGGTGTGGGAGACTTTGGTGGTAGAGCTCAGTTTTGCGTGTCGACATCAATCCTGGAGTTAAGAAGCCATGTTGTACAGGAGCACAAGGATGTCAAAGAAGTCAGCAGCGAAGATATCGTAATTCGTAGTGTGTGGTATCTGAGATCAGCCTAACGAGAGTTCAACATTACTGTACGTATAAATCCAGATTAGATGTGTTTGCATACGCTTTGCAGCTGAATTTGTACTACACGACAGTAGAAAGGCCCATATATTAAGCTTTGTAGCATATAATACACACATACGTAATATGAGAAACACTCAGGCTAGAGATACTGTAATTAGTTAAATATATATTTTTGTTGTTTTTTATGAACACCTTGGAATTTTGAAGGTTAAATCATTTATCCAACTTTTTTGACACTTTGTACACCATACGTTCTGTACCGAAATACACAACTATTTGCCATATTTGGAGGAAGTGACTCGGCGTTAGCTCTAAGGGTCGAATGTCTGTCTGTACGTTCATTGGTCTAGTGACCAAGTTGCATTTTACGGCCAACTTTAAAATCTTTTTTAGATTTTATAAAATTGTTGCTCAATGAATTATAACATTTCGTTCACTAGAGGGCGTGTACGATAAGTAGGTAGAAGGATATTATCTTTGAATATAATATTCTTATTTATCCAGTAGTACAATTTGGTTCGTATTTCAAATACTAATTCTACTAATTATTTTTTATTTACATATCATAGCTACCGTAAATACCAGTAGAATGAAGCTTATAGTGAGATACTTAATGTAAGGGGAAAAAATTAAATTATAAAAATTCTAGGTGTAATTAAGATGCACGAGATTTGTGTGAATTTCTTCCTTTTTTTTTTTTCTTCTTCTTTGCACCAAAAGTGCAAGAAAGTTTATTTGATAGAAGAACGTACTTAACGTTTATATATTTGTTAAGATTTGGCACACTGATAGATCTTTACAGTTAGGTGTAAATATAAGCCACGTGCAGAGTCAGTCAACAAAATCCGCTATTTGACCAAAAGTTTTGCGCACGCCCATTCAAAAAGTCACGTGAGCTATCGGTCTGACATTTTTACTACAGCTTCACTTAAGAGTAAAGGTAGACCGATTATAGTTTTTATCATTCCAATTAAAGACGGCTGATTTAGAGCAGCAGATGGGTGAAAGCACGTGCAGATGCATAAGTTGGTTAGGCTTGGCAAACTAGAGTAGCAGTTTCTAACTCAAGTTTTCAAAAGAATCATACGGGTGGACGGTTATTATTCATTGACAACTTAGCTAAATTTTATGAAATTCTACTACTTAGAAAGCGTTTAGCGTCAAGTGAAATTATCTTAAGCAATTAGCATAAATAATGATGCTTGATACGGCTGTACCGATTGCATAGGGTGATGACAAGAAACTGGTAATCTAGATGCCATGGCGTTACTATAAAGGAAGTTATGTACACTGTTTTATTGAGGAAAAACTCTATCACTATATATTTTACATAAGCTGTTTTTTTTCTGTAAAGGTCTGTTCCGAATAATAGGGTTGCGATCCTAAAGCTAATGTTAGTTACTATCGAGTGTTTTTACTTACGATATCTAATCAAAAACACCTTAGGTGTGAAAAAAAGGTTCAGCCCAAAATGGGTTGAGCGTGCCGCCAATTTTGATTTCATTCCTTTAAGTCGCACGCTAAGTTATGGTAAATGTTTATAAAAACATTAGTGCATTTATCAGATACACGCTGTCAAGTTTACAAGAAACTGAATTCCCAGTTTAGTTTTTGAGAGGAAGGTATTTTGTACCTGAGCTAGCTTTTATCCTTCATTGATGACGTTACCATGCTATTTATTTCTGATATGGTAATCTAAATTTTAGTTCTAAGAACGTCTTGCGTCGTTTAGTTAGAAAAAAAATATATATATATATATATGTTGCTCAGCGTGTTTGTAGGGGAATGTTATGTACTCATATGAGAATTTCTTGATGTCTGTTTATTTAATTTATTGGATATTGAGTTTATTGAAATGAGTAATCCTCTGGGCACGATTCAGACATTAGTAGGGATTAACATGACTCCGTCGGAAAATCGTGGGTTTCTAATGAGAGTCAGTCATTTTAATTGTTTTCTTTATAGTACTGGGAAGAGGATACGATTCAATGGACATGCAGGATCTTTTATTTGCTCACATTAAAAATAAATAGAAAAACGGAACCTACTCAGATATTTATTTATTTATTTTTACATTTCGAAACTCCCGCATCTATTTGTGAAGCTTGGGATTGATGATAATTTTCATCTTATGTGGCCTAATGAGTAAGCGTGAATTTGTTTTATCTGGCCTTGTATAACTTTACACTTCAATGGCAGCACCGGATTAGTGGTTATCTCGCCACCCTTAATTGCAGTGAGTTGCACTATTGGAATTGTGCAGCTAAAGATTTAGGAACTGAGCCCGTGTGTTGTTTCAACTAGATATACAGAACGCCTGACTTGCAAGTTTCATCTTATGTTTACTATCGATGGAACTATTGGGCACAGTTTAGACTAGATATTAGTTGCTATCAACCCATTTTTTTTTTCACTCACAATTTTGCCAAAAAGTCCATTTATCATGACTCTGGTTTATATTTGCGTTGGCTAATCACATACAGCCCGTCGCTATATTCTGTAGGAGTCTTGCGCTCGCTGCTCGTGTTTCTATTTTCGTGGACTGTTTAATCAGTGCAGAAGAAAAGTTTAAAGTAACACGGGAGCAAAAGTCGGTTCTTCGCTTCGTAACAGTTACGATTTTAAAAAGGTGGGAGAGCAAAGGCCAATGAGATTGTGCCAGTTTACTGTCAAATGTGAGCAGATAAGATAAATTGGTATTATCAACTTCCTAAGCTCTTCCGAGTTGAGTTGAATTTGTGTATAGGTGCGTGACTATGCCCATATATTTTTTTCTGCTTTTCTATTAAAACCTCTTGGGGCCTTGGATATTTTGCATTATTCAGAATGAAATTTAATTTGGCGGTTTATGAAATTTTCTTATAGAACTAACACGAAGAACGTTTGATCTGTGAATTTTTTTTTACCGGAACCTAAATTTAATCTGATGTGCAATCTGACTCCTGTTAATAAGCACAATTTGATCAAATGTATAAATAAATATCCGAGCAGGCGGCAATTTCTAGATGTGGGCTCCGTTTTTATTTTTGTTTTGAATGTAGTATTTCTTTTTTAAAGCGTATTTAGGAGGTTATGTGTACAGCGTGTTTGACCTCAACGCTCGCTAGGTGTCCCTTCCACCGAAAAACTTTTATTGTTTCAGATGCCTATAATGTAAGGCATCAAGGATTTTTGTTAAAACTTATTTTATAACTAAGAGAACTCATAATGTATTTTTTACACTAGTTAAGTAAAGAAAGATAAATGTAACTGTACCCAGCGTTGTTTTTCGTTCTATCTTAATTTTTATACAGTGTGAGTCAAAATAATGTTTACACTTTTATTGGATTTTCTGTTACTTTGCCCGTATTGTTCGTGACTATCAGGTAAGGATTTTTCCCAGGAGATGGGTTGGAATAGGTGGTCCTCTGAGATTCACCAGATTTAACACCGTGTGATTTTTGGCTGTGGGGTATGGTTAAAAAACGTGTGTATCCATGATCTGCGAGAAAGGATTATAGAAGTCATATAATCAGTACCACCTGGGATGTGCTCTGGATGTAACGTTTGACCGCTTTCAGATATGCATAGATATTTGTGGAGAGCAAGTTGAGACTGTATGAAACATAGGAAATGAAAAATATAAACCCATACAAGTGTTAAAATTTTTTGAATTACCTTCTATATGTGTACGACTTTGATATTTAGTAATTAACACACATTCAATGAACCGGTTAAGGTGGAAATACAACTGTCCGGGTGTTCTTTATTTGGAAACCTCATTCATTTATTGCAGTAAAAGCGAGTAATTGATTATTTGACAGAAAAGGATATAAGCTTTCTTCTTCTTCAACATTTTTTTGAAATCTAATAATAAATAAATAGTGAAATTTATGGTCAAACATTTCACCACGATAGTGGCGACATGTTACCTCTATGTATGTGTGCATTAGAATATATGGCATATACTCTTTTCCCCAAATACCACGGACGTATTTTTCTTGCCATTGCATATAATGCATCCCAAGAGAATTACAGGTTTTTCTATTGGTTATATTGTATGTTGTATTGAATTTGACTGCGACATATCTTCAGCGGGATAACTTGCTTTCACAGAGGTTGTGTGATAAATCTTACAACCTTTATTGCTTTACTCCTTCAGAATGACCATTATAAACTTGAAAACAACAACAAAGAGATTAACTACCCCTTTCACTTGTAGAAAAAACACCAGAACTACCCAGAAAGAGATCTGCAGCATCACACCAACTGTGATAAGCAAAGTGTGTCAGGTGATAACTTACGAACATAAATGGCAGTGGTAATAACCGTCCACGTGTCTCGGGCAGCGGCACACAACGTGACCAAGAAGGATCTTCGTCTGGAAAAACGTCTGCGACATATCCATTCAACTGTTGTATATCTCAAGCAGCTTGGGAATGAAACGGCTATTTATACTATTACATACGAAATTTTGGCTATGTCATCTACTGATTTCTGTGTGTTCGAGCTATTATAACGGGCACTGGGAAATTATTGTCCCCATACTATGCAGCTTATGGAAAGCATGCAGACAGTTAGTGGTATGCTTTTAACATGACAGTCTCATTACGAAACCTTTTGTACTAAAAACTACGTTGCATAACTATTGTTAACTTACATAGCCGTTAGGTGAAGCGTGAGCGGGAGTGACGACACGGGCTTTTAACGGTGTGGCTTCAAAATCGTTTTAATACATAACAATACATGTAAATACCGACACTTCTTTTACTTTGGGGGAAAATAAACAACTGACCTTATACTAAATACTTACAGTAAGGTTGTGGCGATCAATCGTTGTCATGGTTAATAAGTGATACGACAACTTTATTTATTAGTAACTTTTTAGATAACTAGATACTAATTAGTTTACATTCTATGTTTTGGCGATGCTAATTTCCTGCTGTTTCTAGGGAAGTCCCGAGAAGAACTATTTGGTAGTGACCTGGATTTGATCGGAATTCTTTTTAAGGGAAATCGGATGCTT